TTTCCCGGTAGAATATTAACGAAGCTACAAGCGATCGTAAAAAAAACACGTGGTCCGACTGTTGTTGTTTTCACAGATTCACACTGTTTTCCGCTCCTAAAATTTAAAATTTTCGTTTGTAATCGCAGTATTTGTAGCGGTTGAACTCCTTGTATCTTCACGAACAAATAAACACCACTCTGACCCTCCTAGAACCAAAATTGCTAAAGTTATAGGTAGATATGTGCAGAGCTCACTTACCTGTGCTGCTGACGCTCGTCATCGGCGACATCGCAGGCCGATGACGAGCGACATACAACATATAACACAGCGCAAAATAAAATTGGTTGCTTATAACGTATCCCCATTTTTTTCTGTGCACTAAAATGAGCCCGCCCTCATTGCGCTTCGAATAATCCCGCTGACGTGGCCACGAAAAATGGCATGCTATAAATAAAGTGGCATCGTCATATTAAACAATTCATTATTATTTTTTCATAATACTTCTTTTATAATACTTCATAAGCCCCAGAAAAGGCATAGGGTGAGGGGGACATACAGTAAAATTCAATTACGGTATACTATTACTGTATATACGCAGCTTTACACAAGGGAAGGTGCATCTAAATGGAAGAGTGATACAGCGGCTGGTTTTGGGACGTTAAACCCCACATATCAATCAATCAGTGATACAGTGGCGGATACAGTGGATACAGTGGTGAATGTCACAGCACAGCGCTTCGCTGACATTGCAGATCACAGCGCCAAGTTTCTTACTCAAGTTTTCCATAAAAATCTTGAAAATTCTAATAAGCAAAATATACGTATCGTTCACTTTAAATAGTTCTTGTCGACGTCTCGTAAACGTAACTTTTTTTTCATCTTTTCCGGCAACTGGCTGAGGTTAACTGTACTTCATTTCCTCTTAAGCTATCAGGAACATAGGCGTGTGACAAAAATAAGCTGGATGGGAAATGCGTTATCGTGGCTTATAGCTCTCTAGGCTCGGGTGACCTCATGTACAAAACGCACACCCTAGAGGCCATGTCATGACTTTACTTGCATGCAGAATTTAGGAGAAAAACGTGTTGTGTATTCGTTTGGATTTTTTTTGTTTTCCATGAATATCAAAGGCGCTCTTATCTATGGTTATTATCTTATCAATCAGTCTAATTACTAAAGCTTCCACATCAATTAGACACATTTGCTACACCTGAAGAGCTATAGAAGTCGTGTTTGAACTAGTTTGCTTTTCACATATTGCCGTTTCCCCTCAATCGCCTTATGTACAATAAACTTAATTCATCATCAGTGCTTGGATAAGTTGTGGAACTCTTTCACCCTTCAGTCAGCGAGAAGCTTCAGTATGACTAGTGACCTTGCTGCACCATGACATACCAATGTATCTCAGGAACCCCGAACATAGTTTCTATCACGCTTTAACACCGACTAAAAGTTAATTACGTTAGACACAATTTGCCGAATATGCTAAATAATTCCGTTCGCAATGGTGAATATTCCTGCAAAAATTTTAAGATGTATACCATTAAACTGTCAACAAATTCATTTGAATATAACGATACCTTTAGCTTATCTATATATTTTCTGTTTGGTGAATATTACATATCTCAGAATGCGTGTGCCTGAGAGTGTCAGTTTAGTCTGTTTTGTACTAAAAATTAGTTTTTTATATGTACACTAGAGAGAACTCTGGTGCGAGTGTCCATGGGAGCTGCTACACTTGGTGTAAAAAAAAATTTGCTGGCGCAAACTTGAAAGAGACACGAAAGTGCGCTTTTTGTGTCTCTCGTCTTTTTTAAAGTTTGTGCCAACGACGTTTTACACAGCTATACACCAACTAGCTCTACAGCGTATGTGACTACGCTCGGTGCTTCAGTAAGCACGAGAATGGTGGGTATAGTACACAAGTTTGCCTGATCCTAACTCTTTGGGCTCCGTTCGGTTCCGCATGCCCTGAATCCGCTTTGTCGCAAGTCGAGGTTCAGTAAAGATTCAGCATTTACGCTTCACAACTGCGACCTTTTTAGGCTCATCCCTTCAAATTGGGTGACGAAGTTCGCAGCGGTCCGTTCTATTATTTAAAACAAAACCAAAACTCAGCAGTAAACAAAGCCACATGAGCGTTCGAAGGCGCAAGCGCGAAGACCATCATTCCCATAGTGGTTGAATGATCCCAGCGCCAGTCTCCTCCTGTTGATTTTAGGTAACTTTAGGCTAAAATGTTTGCTGTTATCACGCTGTCACGTAAACACATCCTGGGTCCAGTCAAGCTGTGGACGGAAGCGTGTAGCCCTGAGGATGTTTATAGTATGTGATAGAACAACAATAAGGTCCGAAACTAACCATTTGCAATCGGTAAGGAGTTACACGAGATGCTGGCCATCCTATTAATTCAAGTCCTTCACCGGTGTTTGCAGCGGCGGTGTACCGGTCACGGTGCTTAGCTTGTGACTGGAAGATCCACAGGCTTGATCCCGGCTGTGGCACTTCAATTGATGCAAAATGCCAAAGTTCAACGAACTGAAACTGTTTAGCGCACTATCCAGGGACGACAGACAAGGTAACGCGACAAACCGAAGTGCTATTCTCTTGCATATCGTCTCTGAAGTTTGCGCTGAACCAGTTTCAATGAAGTTTCAATGACTTGGGCAGTTTCCAACTTGCCTAAGTCAGCCCTTTGCTTCGTTGAAGATTACCAGATGGCCCAAATATCAAGAGCCAACCTCTATGGTGGGCCTCGTAATGTTATCATTGTTTTGGTGCGTAAAACCCCAAATATCGTTCTTTCCGCAACGTTCACAAAGTTAAAAAATCACAGCATATCTGTGGAGTGAATGATGAGTCAGATGAAGTATCCATCCGTCCAGGTGTCCGTCCATGCATGCGTCTATGTGTCCGATCGCGTTCGAGAATGCAGACGGCGCGCTAGTAACACCGACGAGACGCGAGCCAAGGAAGTTGAGCGCAAGGTCTTCAACGCGCCCGCCTCTCAGCTTTGTCAATGCCCCACCAATGATCCGCCACGTACGGCGACAATCCAGAGACAGAGTAAGGCACTCGTTCCCCTCGCACTCAGGCAAAGCGCGCGCAGCAACCAATCGGAGAGTAGCGGTACAGCGCCATCTAGAATATCATCACTCAACTGCAGTTTGTATGTAGTGTAAGCACAATATGCATAGCAATTGACCTTCATCTTCTTCATATTTATATATAATGATCATCACGAGGCACGTCGTTCTATGAGACAGCGCCGTCTATTATACTGTGTGGGAGATGCTGCCTTATTTTTTTCTCCTCTATTCTTTTTCGGTTACACGTGACGCGTGACAAGGTTACATTAAAAAGAGCTTCGCCCCTAAAACGGAAGTTCCAACGGGTTAAAGTGCGCGTTTATCGTGCATGAAGCTTTCTGCGTTTTATTTCACATCAGTATTCAGACGTGGTGGTGACGGTCAAACGCACCACATACTTATCTAGGCCCCCGCGGCGAAACTAGCGGCGTCGCCTTCAAGTGGTTGTGACTGCCCGGTGCAAGACCCCTTTGTGCACAGCGACCTTGGTGGCATTCTGCGCGTACAAAATGGCTTCCGTTGGTGCTCACTTGCAAGCACTGTAAACGCTGTGGCGGGACTGATAAGGCCCAGGCGTAATTTCCCCCCGGTCCGTTCGCCATAGCCTGTTTGCTCAGGCGCTGCTCCAAACAGACAATTCCATATCGGCGCTGATTACGATGGTCATGGTAGTCAGCTTGTCGACATCGCCCGTGTTGACGTTTCAGGGAAGTCCCAATGATTACGCGATTGACGCTGCATTACTAACATAGATTACAGAGAGGTTTTTGCCGAGCTAAGGGCTGCGCCATCAATTGTGAACACTTATTAGCTTAGAGGGTCGCTTCGACCTGCCCTATTTGCTCAGAGTGCCACGATTACGAAATAGGGCTATGTGGCGTAACTCAGACGCGTCCACAATAGAACTCCTAGTCGTTGATCCATTCTGTCGTGCTTTCATTGTTATTTTAGCGCCAGCATCTGCCTCGTCTGGTGGTAAAGTGGTTACACAGTTCGAGTCTGCTGGCTCGAAGGTCACGGATTTGATACCAGCTACAGCGGTCGGATTTTGATGGACGCTAAACGCTAAAAGCCCGTGCCCTGCGCTATTCCAGGGCTCGTTAAAGAACACCAGATCGCTGAAATTTCCGGACCCTTTCGCTGCGACGTGCGGCACAGAGTTGTGGTAATTTTTGACACGAAAACTCCGGATATGTATGGTCTTGAGCTGTGTGTTTTGTTTTGAGCTGTTCAACTCTAGGAACACTGATGCTAAGCAGCAGAGCCATGTGACTTCCACTTGGCTTCGGTCGAACACAAAGGGGTACATTTTTAAATGTGACACATTACTTGATCAGCATTATTTCTCGATTTCATCAACACTACCCGCCTATTGCACACTTGTTTAAGAAGGGGAAATGTGGGAAATAACTGTCTGTTTTAATTAGTATTGAGCGAAATTTTTTATTATGTTACCAAAAGTGGGTAGGCTCTGACACTGTGCCACAACATTCTTCACAAAGCGTGACAAACTTCACCCTAAGGAAATATTAGATCACACGTGATTATCTATTTCCAGTGTTTGAACATCAATTCTGAATACAGAAATGAATACAGCTTTCATTCATATAGTTATCGCAATTTCACATTTTAACGCTATCCACATCCCGTTCATTCAGTTTTTATAGTAGTTACATTCCTTTTCTGGTTTCTGTTGTGACACGAGGTTCCCTTTGGACGACATAAAGATCTACTACAACATTGTTCGCTATTGCTAAGCAAAGGTTACCATTTCTTTTGCCTAGATAAGCTAGCTACATCGTTGTCGTGAAGTCTGAAATGTACTCGGCATGATTTTTAGAAGTCTATCTAATTCTGATTTAGCTATTATTCAGGGATGCATGTGCAGTGATCGTACGCTATATTAGGTCCTCTTCTTCTGCGGTGCAGGTTTCCTATGGCATCGGCCTGCTCTTGCTGGAGAATGCCCTGATGCGGTTCGGCATCTTCATGCTCGGCTGCTCGCCCGGTGGGAACTCTAGCAACCTCTGGACCCTCATATTCAACGGCGACGTCGCACTCAGCGTCACCATGACATTCGTTAGCACCATCGCCAGCATCGGTGAGCTACGAGCGGCCACAGTTGCATTGTTTCGTGAAGGTAGTGTCAGAGTGCCACACTTGGTAGAACATCGGTGCGTGCGGAGTTTGCTCAATAAGAGGGTAAAGCTTCATCCCAGCTTCCCATACTATCGGTATGGAGTCCCAAAAGACGGAGTGTTTTGCAGTGGTGCATAGATCAGATTTTAAACGACGATGTGTTTCCAACAATGGCTCACATTTGGTGCCTGGTTTCTTGGCTATCCGCGAATGAAGATTGGAAGTAGGCTTCATTCTATGTAACACTAGAGCTTTCGGCAGTCATTATCTTAAACACCTAATTGGTCACAACCATGCACTTTAAATACTGGAGACAGGTGTGGAAGAGTAATGGTATAGGAAAGCCTTTGAGTCCCCCTTCAGGTGATTAGGACGGACCACCACCCTCACTCTCCCCCTCTCTCGTGCGCAGCTGACTGTCTGACACATGTAACCACCACCCATATCAACTACATACGGCCAGTTCCCGCACATATCAAAGCGCTTTGGAGCACTTATATCCCCCTAACACATACTTAGTGCTAGGAGTTTTTAAGTACCTCGTGGAGCAACCGATTTTTGTAACGCCATATTTTAAAGTCCTGAGGAACGGTCTCCATCACATATTACCAGCTCTAGGAACTCGAACTTCTCGATTTTCGCTACTATTTGCCATCGAAGATGCGTTTTGCTGATAGATACGGGTTGGGGAATTGTCATGCGTTGGCGCAGAAATCCAAATGGAATTTTCGTAACAGAGACTTCATTACTTTAGCTAGGTTGTATACCAGTTTCTACTAATAATTCCAAAGCTCCTATAGAAATGGGCGCCAGTGGCTACCGTACACCACCCACAAATGTCGCTTTTTCCAAGCCGTTGCACTTATGACACCTTTTTTTTCGTGAAATAACCATATGCATGCTTCATTTCAGCCCTATCAGGAAGCTAATTGATGCACAAATTTGTAAATCAGCCGTTTCCCCCATTCATGATCTTGCATTGGTTTACCACCAGTCAGTTTGAGCATGAAGAAAAGCAACTCAAGCGAGGAAGTAAAAAAAAAGTGACAGGATGAACACTGATCCAGCCAATCCTTAGCGCTCACCCTCTCGCCTGTCCTCTTCCTTCTTTTCTTACGCTCCTGTTCATGTTCAAACTGAGTTTTGATAAAACAGTTAAGGAATATGATGCACGGGCTCGCCCAATCAGCATTGCTTGCCTACTCGTGTCTCAATCGATAGGTGAATGAATCAGCCCATGCGGACCACGGGGAAGCACTTTGTTAAGAATGAGCGAGTGCAAATGAGAAGTGTGAAGACCCGGTGAATCACATTACGAACGTGTCGCACGTAAGGCGGCGAACCATCGACTTTGTTGTTCCAACATAGCGTCATCTGTATCCACAACTCTTGACTCTCTCTCTCCATGCCATGAGTGACTGTTATCATGTCTGCAGGAATGATGCCTCTGTGGGTGTTCCTGCTGGGGCGGCACATGTCTCCGGAGACTGGCGTGCTCAGTGTACCATTCACGAACATCATTTCCAGCCTCATCGGCCTCGCAATACCCTTGGCCATCGGCATGGCCATCTACAAGCTAAAGCCTACGTGGGCCTTGGCACTGACTAAATACGTCAAGCCCGTCACCATCATCGTGCTCATAGCCATTCTTGTCTTGAGCGTCACTGTGAACCAGTAAGAAACGACCGCACGATTGTGCATTGTCATCATTGACTCCTCGACAATCTCGGCGCGGGTTGTCATTGATAGCCTGCTAATTATTGCTGTTTGCGATGAGTCATTATTGCTCGCTAACGCTTCGTATATGGATAAAATAATTAGGCCTTGCAATTACTGCTGCATATATTTGGCAAAACCTTACAAGACCCACAATTAATTCAAGTATGTGGAAGCTGGAAGTTCTGCGAGAGACAAACTATCTTGTAATGGTTGCCTCAGAGAAAAGCAGATGCAAAAAAAAAAAATCGGCCACGCGTTACAGTCTATATTTTAAAACACGATTCGGCTGCACACTTCGTAGTTCATTAGTTAATACAGACGGGGATGAGGAAGGAAAAGGAAAGACAGGGCCGTTGACCACTCTAGGAGTGGCATGCTTCTCTACAAAGGGGAAAGGGGTGGAGTATTTTTAAAGATGAAAAAAGACTTCTTTGTGAGACGGAATGAGCCGCAGCGCAAGAGGCAGTCATTAGATGACTTTGATGTTCTCATTAGATCCCAGTGTTCCTCCCCTCTTCCATTACATCTTACTGCGGCTCACAAAGTGCCCCGCGGTGGCGGTCAGTGGCTAAGGTACTCGGCTGCTGACCCGCAGTACAGTGTACAGCGCTACTGTAAATATAGCAGATTTTTTAAACGTTAGCGTTTTACTCAGATGCGATATTCCCTTATGGCCATGAAACAGGACGTCTTTCCGTCATCATTGCAATTCTTTGTTCTAATAGCGACAACAAATACTGCACGTATTCGACAGGCAGGTCCCTAAGAATAACACATCAACGTTGCTTTCTTTGTTTATCTTTGAAAACATGCAGTTCATTGTGTTAGTGGCCTCATATGACTGCCTCTTTCTAACCACATAAGGAGGTCTTCATACTCATCATCGTATCGTCCAATTAATTTTGATTTCCCGCTTTTCTTAGGTACATTTTCTTGCTGATGACGTGGCAGGCGCTTCTGTGCGGCGCCCTCGTTTCCTGGAGCGCCTACGTGTTTGGCGCGCTGGCCGCTTTCGTGGGTCGCCTGAACCGGGCTCAGATCATCGCCGTGGCCATTGAGATCGCCTTTCAGAACAGCGGCATCGCCATGGTCGTCCTGTACACGTCGCTTCCACTTCCGGACGCCGACCTCGTCATCGTGCCAGTCGTCTGCCAGACGATCCTGCAGGGCGTGCCGCTGTATGTGCTGTACATTGCTAAGCGGATCAAGTCGTGCGTATCCAAGCGCCTACACCCGGACGAGAAGCCGGTTCCGGAATCCATTTCCTCCGAACCGGAACTGGAGAGTGGCCTGTGTCCGGCGAAGGCTGCATGCGAAGAAGCCCGGGCGTGCGTGTTGCCCAGCAAGGACGCCCTGGAACTCAGGGACGTGGTCAACGATGGCGACGTGAAGAAATCTCGACTGTGATGCACGAAAGAGACTTGTCTGGTACCTTAGTGGCTCCATTCGATCAGCCAGTGGAAATCCATCGCACAGTTCCGTGTGCTTTCGCTTGTGCGTGGACGCGGTGTGTTGTTTCCGAAGCTGCCTTTACAGTGTAATATATGCATTCTCATTTCTAACGTGTTCGCTGTATGCTCGGGTTTGTGTATGCGTGAAATTACCAGCGAAGACCTGGTCGAGCGACGTGTTTAACTTTATACTCTTCTATGAGGTCTACAGTAAGCTGATGAATATGCAGGTTTATACGTAGACGTTTTATGTGATGGCTGTCACAATTTTTTAAAGACCTTAAATGTTTATACGTACTTTTTGGATGGTTCACCTTCTTTTTAAACTGTTTTTAAGGACGTGTAGCTTTGTTCAAACGTAAGCAAGGCAACGGAAGTGCACATCTTTTCAGGTAAAGGGCGAATCGAGAAACGCCTGCTAACCGCTTGCAGTAAAGTCGACGATACCAGTGAATATAATAGATAATTTATTTTTATATAAACAATGACTTTTTATTGCTTTACCACTGTTTGTGACTGCGCATACGCTTCGACTGTGGTGAAGAGCGTCCCTGTAAACTATTTTCGCAATGTGTGTGCCTCATGTATTGTGCGTGTTTGATTTATTTGCAGAGTACTATGGTCATTGCACTGTGGGCCGTGTTAGGCTACAAGAGTTGCTGATGCGTTTTGTGCTCCGTTCCAGCATAACGTTTGCTAAAGTACCTAATTAAAGTTTTTATGCCACCATAGTTTCCCCTGAAATTACGACTGGACTCGCGGTTCCTTTTGAACTACGACCATGCCACCTTGTGCTTAATGTGACCTGATTTGTTCAGTGCTGTTTTTTTACGCGCGATATGTAATTGTTCTTTCTCACCACCAAAAAGGTTTTTATCTGTCATTCATCTCGTTAAGGCGTGCGTTTTCGTGTTCGTACAATATTGTTGCTTTTAATTTGTTGCAAGCCAAAGTTGTTTTAGTAAGGCCAGACGTTTGCGTGGGGAATTTCAAACCCGTTCCAATTCGGGGACGTAGAGGCGTTATTGTGAAAGCTGTGCGCTCTCCGTTCAATGTCTGTGTGAGTGCTTTTACTGTGTACATGTCGCCAGGATTCGCGGTTGACTAGTGTGCATCGATGCGCGCGCCCCCTGCGGGAATCGAGGCTCTCTACGGTTGACACGAATGTATAGCAAGACGTGTAATTTTATGCAATAAACATTCAAAAAATGAACGAAGTGACAATGTCTCAAGTAGAGAATGTATGCATAATAATTCGGTGTGCAGCATCCACTATTGCCGCTATGCCGAGCCGTGCCATTTTGCGCCCACGTTCCCATCAGGCACCGCGTTTATACGGAACGCTAACTGTCGAACAAGGCATTGTCTTCTGAAACCGTGTAATGTGAATTGAGTGCCATAATGTCACTTGGAGTGCCAATACATAAAGCTTAGTTTATGGTGACGCCACTGGATCGCTGACATAGCACAGTACACGTGACATTTACACTTCGGCACAATCGAAATGCGACGGCCGCATCTTTTGGGTCAGCAGAGCAACACACCACCTCACTATACGCCACTGTTGGCATCCACAGCCGGCGGATACTTACCACGTCTTTAGGTACAAACAGGGTGCAGCGTAGTTAACATATGTAGGTAACGGTATACCGAGCTTTCCTTACACCAATGGTAACCGCTTCACCTAGTGCAGAAGTGACTGAATATTCGAGCAGAAAGTAGGACGAAAGCAGCTACGAGGTGAAAGATGGCAGATAAAACATGTAAGCTCATAAGCCTGAATTTTCTTGGAACTAGCAACGATTAAACCAAAATCGTAATTGAAAATTTCTTTCAATGGGGAGGGGGAGGGTGAGATTATGTTTCAACTTCGCTTTATGTATGTTTGTGCTTGCATTTGCATGTATGCGTGATTATACAGGTTTTTTTCAACAAATATCTCCGAAAATCAATAAACATCGTGGAAACGGTATACTCGCTCGGTGCCCTTACAGATGCTTTTTCTGGAGTAAGGGGCATGTTAAGGCACCAATTACAGTTGTAATTAAGTAAAAAAACTTATCCTGTTAATTAACGGGCGCAGGGCGACTCGCTCTCTTTACTGCGAGAAGGTCATGGCCGCTGCTGCATTTTGAGGAATCGGACACCGGAAGTACAACCGAGTTCACCAGCGAAACGGAAACCGGTGCTCTGATGAGTGCAACTATCAGACGACCAGAATGGCGTCACTATTTACGATGGAAATTGCAGTGGTGTTGCTTCTGTTCCATTTGTTAACGTAACGCACACGTGTGCCATGTGGTCTCTGATTGAAAACAAAACCAGCTCAATTACGGCGCAAGTCAATTGATGTCATAGGTATACAACAGCGCTCGCTCATTGCGGACGTCTCCGAAAAGTACTCCACTTTCTGTTTAACCAATGAAGTTTCACAGATTTCATTCCTCGTGAAAAACAGCCAGTGGCTATTTTTTATGACATCTGTAGGCAGCCACACCCTCTTCGAAGGAAGGGCTGCGATTTCCCCATTTTACCTGACCACCTGTCTCCACTTATTGAAATAGGTGTCACTAAAGCTTAATTTTCAAAATTCATGTCGTCCTCCATAAGTGTACTCAGCTCAACATGCCTTACATTACATGTAAATAATTATGGAGGACACGTGAGAAATATCTCGTTTTCCTTATTCATGTGCATTTTCGCATACAATTCTTGAAACCCCCGGTGTGTTGTATTATACGCCACTCGTGAAACAAGAAAGATGCGGGTAATTATTTGTCATTTCTGAAGTGTACTGTAAATAATTCTCAGCTCCGCCCCGGTGGTCTAGTGGCTAAGGTACTCGGCTGCTGACCCGTGAATCGTGGGATTGAATCGCGGCGGCGGCGGCGGCTGCGTTTTCGATGGAGGCGAAAACGCTGCCAGCCCGTGTGCTCTGATTTTGGGGCACATCGAAAAACCCCACGTGGTCGAAATTTCCGGAGCCCTCCACTACGGCGTCTCTTATAGTCACTAGGTGTTTTGGAACGGCAAACCCTACATAATAATCAATCAAATTATTTTCATTTTATCTAAAAAAAAAAGTGGACGGAAAGTCATTCTTTCCGTACACCACTGGCTATGCCCCTGCTACTGTGCGACATGGTCTAAATTTCTGGAGCCCTCCACTATGTCGTCTCTCATACAATTAGGTGTTTCGGGACGGTATATGCCACATACCAATTAATCAAATGACTTCCATTTTACTTGAAAAAAAAAACATAGTGGACGGAAAGTCATTTTTTCCGTACACCCCTGGCTACGCCCCTGCTAATGTGCTTTATGGTCGAAATTTCCGGAGCCCTCCACTACAGCCTCTCTCATAATCATTAGGTGGTTGTGGAACAGTAAAACCCCCATATTTATCAATCAAATGACTTTAATTTTATTTCAAAAATAAAATAGACGGAAAGTCATTTTTTTCATGCACTACTGGCTACGCCCATGCTACTGTGCGATTTGGTCAAAATTCCGGACTCCTCCACTATACGGCATGCTTCACAATCGTATAGTAGTTTTGAGCTGTAATACTTGAGATATTATGTTGATTACGAGTGACGTCAAAAATGCAAATGAGGATGATGTTCACCATAACTTAATCATGCAGATACGTGCTCGTGTTAAGTGTTCCGTTTACGTTTGTTCCGACAGCGCCCTAAAAACAGAGTTCAGTAAACCACACGAATTTGAAAAATAAGTTTTATTGACTGAATATTTCTTTTTCAATAAAAGTATGAGTCATGGTTGTGTATCGTTATGTCGAGCTGTTGAGTACCGATCAGAGGCGTCTTGAAAGATGGAAAGAAGAAGCGAGCATTTCGCTTGAAATCGAACGTGGTTGTCACATTATTCTGGGATCTTTGTTTGCCGTCTCAATGACAGATGACTGCAATACCGCAGCATTTCGGGTACGCACCCCTTCCTGGAAAAGCCTGTCGACACATATTGTCGTGGGCCATTCGGCACCTATGTGGAAAGAAGTGCATTTCGCCCAACTTAGAAAGGCTCTGAAAAACGGAGGAAATGTCAAAGCATTGAAGAGGAAACTTGGGATAGGCAAAAGTCGGATGTATGCACTAAGGGACAAAGAAGGCAAAATAACTACCAATATGGATAGGATAGTTAAAATAGCGGAGGAGTTTTACAGAGATATGTACAGTAGCCGAGACAACCACGACCTTAATACTATAACAACTAGCAGTAACCCAGATCACACCCCACCAGTAATGATAGAAGAAGTCAGAAAAGCTTTGGAGGGCATGCAAATGGGCAAAGCTGCTGGTGAGGATCAGGTAACATCAGATTTGCTGAAAGATGGAGGACAGATTGTGTTAGAAAAACTAGCCACCCTGTTTACGAGGTGTCTTCTGACGGGAAGTGTACCAGAGTCTTGCAAGAACGCTAACATCATCTTAATACATAAGAAAGGAGATGACAAGGACTTGAAGAATTACAGGCCGATCAGCTTGCTCTCTGTAGTATACAAGCTATTTACAAAGGTAATTGCTAACTGAGTAAAGAAAACATTAGAATTCAATCAACCAAAGGAACAAGCAGGATTTCGAACAGGCTACTCAACAATTGACCACATTCATACTATCAATCAGGTAATAGAGAAATGCTCAGAGTATAACCAACCACTATACATAGCCTTCATAGATTACGAGAAGGCGTTTGATTCAGTAGAAATATCAGCCGTCATGCAAACACTGCGGAATCAGGGCGTAGATGAAGTATATATAAACATTCTGGAAGAAATATACAGGGGATCAACTGCTACCATAGTGCTTCATAAAGAAAGCAACAGAATAACAATCAAGAAGGGTGTAAGGCAGGGGGACACAATTTCCCCAATGCTATTTACCGCTTGCTTACAGGAGGTTTCCAGAAGCCTAGAATGGGAGCAGTTAGGGATAAGAGTCAATGGAGAATATCTTAGTAACCTGCGCTTCGCCGATGACATTGCATTGCTGAGTAACTCGGGGGACGAATTGCAACTCATGATTACGGAGTTAGACAAGGAGAGCAGAAAGGTGGGTCTTAAAATTAATCTACAGAAAACGAAAGTAATGTACAACAACCTCGGCAAGGAGCAGCGCTTCGAGATAGATAATAGTGCACTTGAAGTTGTAAAAGACTATGTCTACTTAGGGCAGGTAATAACCGCAGAGCCGAACCACGAGATTGAAGTAACTAGAAGAATAAGAATGGGGTGGAGCACATTCGGCAAGCACTCTCAAATTATGACAGGTAGATTGCCACTATCCCTCAAGAGGAAGGTATATAACAGCTGTATCTTGCCGGTACTTAGCTATGGAGCAGAAACCTGGAGACTTACAAAGAGGGTTCAGCTTTAATTGAGGACGACGCAGCGAGCAATGGAAAGAAAAATGGTAGGTGTAACCTTAAGAGACAAGAAGAGAGCAGAGTGGATTAGGGAACAAACGGGGGTTAAGGATATCATAGCTGAAATCAAGATGAAGAAATGGACATGGGCAGGGCATGTAGCGCGTAGACAGGATAACCGCTGGTCATTAAGGGTAACTGACTGGATTCCCAGAGAAGGGAAGCGGGTTAGGGGGAGACAGAAGGTTAGGTGGGCAGATGAGATTAAGAAGTTTGCGGGTATAAATTGGCAGCAGCAAGCACAGGACCGGGTTAACTGGCGGAACATGGGAG